GTAGGAAAAATGACACTGCCCCACTTGTTAGGAAATGGGAAGACTTGGAAAAAATTATATTGGGTGAAGTAAGCCAGACTTAAACATAGATCTCATGGTTTCCCTTATTTGCAATAACTAATATACGTCTAGGATAATCTTACCAGACAAGTAGAAAAGGTCAAAAGCTATTCACATATGACCATATAAGATGGTGCTAAGCGAAATAACCCCATGATAGAGGCACAAAAGGTTTTATCTTTGTTGCTGTTGTTTATAACGTCCTTATAATAATACAACAGGCTCTCTTTAAACTTTCTTGCAACTTTTACAATGCATTCTTGGATACCATTACCTATTTGTTTCTATGACCATATTTTGAGAAAAAATGTAATGTCTAAAGAATTTTATTTATACAAAGCTCCATATATTGTCACTTAGCCACTAAGAATATTTTTTTGGTCAGTTATGGGGCTTGAACTCTGGGCCTGAGCACTGTCCCTCAAATCTTCAGCTCAAGGCTAGCACTCTACCACTTGAGCCACAGTGCCATTTCTGGCTTTTTCTGCTTATGTGGTTACGAAGAATCAAATGATTCCTTCCGATTACTACCAAAATGAGTACAAACATTATTATTGGAATAGAAATGTGAATATACATAAAAGGCAAGAATTAGCTTTTAATGATGTAGATTACCAATATAATCAAATCTTCCCTGAGAAATTTCAAGTTACCTCTGTGGTTGGGTATATGACCGTATGTAACTCTACTTGACTAATAGTCTTGATTATAATAGCTTACATCACTTGCAAGGTGATTATACAGCCTTCCTATCCTCTTCTTTTGAATGATGACCAGTGACTGACATTGACAGTATTTGGTGATGGACAATTCACATTTATGGCTAACAAATGGTAAAAGAGCAACCACAATAAATAATGGATGACATCAGAGAAATCTGTGTCTCTTAGTATCTTGCAAATGTCTGCCCCTTTGAAGCCACCTAATAATGTAGAACAAGAGACTTTGATCCTGTAAGCCCAATAGATGACATTTCAAGGGTTTAATAAGGATTTCCCTCATGGGAATCATGAGGGAATAAATACATAGGAAGAGTAAGGTACACTAGACACTATCTTAATTGTTTTATATATCATTTCCTTTTATCTTTGAAACAATTTCTTACTGTCTTCATTTTACAGATAAAAATCTGAGGTACAAAAAATATTTAACTACTACTTTAGCATTCCAAGTTACTCAGTTATAAATAAGGAAGTTATCTAGTTATGAAGTAATGGAGGTTTATGTGAAGTAGCAAAGACCAGATTCTAAAAACAGCTCTCTTATTGCAGTCTATGCTCTTGGTTTCTACCCTGTAGTGTGTGGGCTTCATATTACCTCCAAATCTCCAGAATTAGCCTCTTCTCAATTTACCATGCCTCATGCTATATTCCTTCAGCAGCAGATCAGTTTGTTCATCAATTTACCATCTTCTCTATGCATGGTCCTATGCTTCTCATGATATGGGAAGAACACATTTTCAGCAATTAGAAGATTACCTCTTGATCGAATCACCTGTGCAGTCCCATTCTCTTTGCCAAATACATATCCAAATATAGTGAAGACATGCTGACAAGTTGAGAATAGTTGACTATATCGTTTGTGATTTTGAATTGCTGTGTTAAGCAATAAAGAGCACACTGTTTTAGAGATTTCTTCATTGTAAGATGTTATGTTTTCAGAATAAGTTAGTTTTCATTATTGTATCCATATACGTAAAAAAGATTGAAAGTTACTTTTCAATAATGTGGGAATTTGCTACCATATAACAATTCTGATGTTCACAAATAATGAGACATTTGTACAAATAGTGTACTACAAATCTGTAATCAATTCATTTTACTTTCTGGATTTTCAAAATTATATGATAAACCCTACCAAAACATGTTTTCTCATGTCTTTTTAAAATTAAGTGCTTGGAATCAATTATCCTAGCTTCTTTACTGTATATGGAGATATTTCTGAAATGTAGAGGAGAATTGATGGTAAATAGGACACTCTCTAATGATGTAACTCTCAGAACACAAGGTTAATAACAAAATAGCATAAATTGTGTGGACAAGGACAAATGAGGAAAGAATACTCCAAATTAGGGTGAAGTGAAATAAAACTTTTTTTTCCAGTGTCAATCTATACTGAGAGAGGATTTTTGTTTGTTTGTTTTAAGTCATGCTTTAGCTTCTTGAAAAACAGCCCTTTAATGAGACATTTCCATTAATAAAGAAAAAATTATGCTATTGCCAATTATGTTTTGTCATTGTGTTTCAATAATAAAAGGCCAATAGAATGAATTTTGTTTGAAAAATATTGAATAACAGAAGTAAGTGACTAAAGCATTTTTAAAGGAAATCAAGATGGTGACAGGATTTTAGATGATTTCAAAAGATAGTAATTGCTTCTGAAGCTGAATTCTAGTCACAGAATTTAACTATTTCTGAATTCTCATTTCAACTGTTGAGTGTTAGGTGAGCTGGTTATTAGGGTAATCAGGGTGTTGACATTTCAGTGATAAAATAGAATGAATAAGCAACAAGTATTCATTAAAATATAAGGAAAAGTGTGTTATATTTATTATTATTACTATTATTATTATTTGTCAGGCATGGGGCTTGAACTTTGGACCTGGGTGCTGTCCCAGAGCTCTTCAGCTCAAGGCAAGCACTCTACTCTTGAGCCACAGCACCATTTCCAGTTTTCTGGTGGTTAATTGGAAGTAAGAGTCTCACAGACTTTCCTGCCCAGGCTGGCTTAGAACTGTGATCCTCAGATCTCAGCCTCCTGAGTAGCTAGGATTACAGGCATGAGGCTGTAATTGGCACCTAGCTGTTTTATTTTATTTATTTTTTGCACTATATTCAGTACATCAAATAAAAGTCAGTTAAAAACTTATTATGTTGTTCTTCTCCTATCCCTTCCCTCCTCCACTTCTTCCCTCTCTGAAGTTGTAAAGTTCATTTCCAACATAGTGTCTTGTGAGTATAATTGCTATAATGGGTCATCCTGTGTCCTTGTTTTAGTGCTTTGTTATTATTCCCTTTCCACTCTCCAAATTATATATATATATATGTATATATATATATATATATATATATATACACATAAGATGCAGGGTACCAAAATCAAATACAGTGACAATGTGGGGATGGGAGTGTAACAATGCTTGACAAAAAATATACTCATTACCTTACTATTGTAACTGTAACTCCTCTGTATAACATCTTTACAATAAAATAAAAAGTTAAAAAAAATTCTAAATAGAGGCACTAGGATCTGGGCACTGGTGGCTCACCATGGTCAGGCCTGTGAACCTCCTCTGTGGTTCAAATTCAGCCCAGGAAAGAAAGTCCCTTAGACTCCTACCTCCAATTAATCACCAGAAAACAGAAAGTGGAGCTATGGCTCAAAGTGCTCAAGCACTGGTCTTGAGCAAAAGATCTCAGGGACAGTACCCAGGCTCAGAGTTCAAATCTCACAACCGACACCCCACAAAAAAAAGGAGCACTAGGGAAACCTAAAATTATCTACTAATGTCTACTAATGAAGGTATTTAGGAGAATCAACCCTTTACACAGATTACAGTCTAGTCCAGAGATAATTTATTTTTCCAACAATAGGCTAAGAAGCATGTATGTATTCAAACACATTAACATTATTATGCAAAGATCATAAAGCCAAAGGAAACATGAGTGTCTTAGTTTGCTTCCTTATTGACAACAAAATTTAAAAAAGCTGAAATCACTTCACTGTACCTCCAGGGATTCAAGATTAACTCCTGCAAGTTGTTTCTAAGGAGCAGAAACACTAGTTTTGTACCTTGAAAAAAGTACAATGCATACCAAAACAAACCTATAGGAGCTATTAACTCCAGATCAAAGGCATATCACTTCCAGCAGGTTTGCAGTTGGAACTGAGTAAGTTCTCTTCTAGGTTGAAACAAGTTGCAGGTCTAAGAAGTTATCTCAGACATTCCAGGCTAATAGCTGAGATTTGACCATGAAGGTAAAATCCTGTAATCCACTACTATTTCAGTTATATTTCATGTGTCTAACTCCCTGAACAATTATGACCCAGCCCAGGGCACTCTAACCAGCTTCATTTTGAGAATGTGGCTTTAGGTGAAATTTGGCACCTGTCAATATGACCTGTGGCCGAAGGTCATATTGTGCTATACGTAGAAGCACACATACTTATATCCAAAGGTTAGAGCTGAGAAACAAATGTTACTATTACATGTCTATCAATCAGTCCAAGCAGATAGACAGAATGTGGGACAGTAAGTAGAAGGGAGGCTGGATAAGGAAGACAGTGTGTAGGTGATTGTACGTTTTTGCTTTGGAGACTTAGCAACAAGATAAGGTATCGGAAAACATTTACAAATTCTCTACAAGATCTAGGACTAGAACAGTGTTATTTAAATAGAGGGACTGAAGGAAGAGTGGCTATGACTCAGTGAACAACTTGAAAGTTAGCAGATAGCACTGGGGCATAGTGTTCTGGGTCAAACATCCAGCAAAAAGAAATTGGAGGAGAATTAAGACATACAGTGTCATTAGGCAGACAGCATTTCCTGGACCATACTAATAGGGAGGAGAACTTAGCCTTAAGTCATACTACATGGAAGGTTGATTAAAGTAGGTATTCTTGGAAAAAAATAGGCTTCTAAGTTTCACACCCTGTAGCAATTTATGATATACACTGTGCTAAGTCTATAGTATCAATAATGTCCAGCCTTAGAGATGTACTGCTGCTCTCATTCAGTACTTGTACAGAAAAAAGTCAGGAGAAGCCTGGGAAAGGTAAGCATGTCTTGAGATTGAGGTAAATGGGAGACTTTGTCACAAAACAAATCTGTAGCTTAAAAGCTCAAAATTTTGTAAGCACACTTTCTCTTTGATAAATTGACTTGAATGCTAATTCAAGTTATAATTGCCCCATTTCAAAAATAACAGGTATTTTCTTCTTTAAATAGCATTACAAATCTCTGTGCAGAATTGAAGAGTAGTTTCAGACATCTCCTTCTTGTAAATGGCTTCAAACTTCTCATTTTCTTCTATTGTGAAATAATTCTTCCAGTCTCCAATAATCCCTAATAATAACAGAAAAAAACACATTTGAACAAATATAATACAACTATTATAAGGGGAAAACTAGTATATACTAAGGAAAGCCAGAAAACTTAAGATCTGGCCTGTAAATGAACACTTCAAAAACATTTCTTTTAAAAATTAGTATTTCATCATTGGCAAATGTGGCTCACAGTGTCTTATCTTTTAAAAAGAGGTTCCGAGGAAAGCTAATTTTTAAACCTAAATTCATGGAGATTATAACACTTTTCTGAGATAGATTCTTTTACTATTTTTCCCATTTTGTCATTTTCTCTTTTTGTTTTTATTGGCATATATTACTAGTATGAGAGGTTTTATTGTGAGACAGATGATTGATAGATTGATAGATTAATAGAGCTACACACACACACACACACACACACACACACACAGTGTACCCCAGGAAAATTCATCCTGAATCTCTAGGTTTCATTGCTGTAATTTTATATCTATATATAGAGTACTTTGCCCATACTTACCCTTGCTCACTGTCTCTATTGGCCCTCTCTAACTCCACAACCCTGCATGTTTCACTTTCTTGATATCTTTTATTATAAACTATTCTATCAACTTATCCCTGAAATCTCTAGATCAGTTGTAAAGCATATTTTATTCCCAGTGTTAGTTGAAGAAACTGTTCAAAGAAACACAGAATCGAGAGATAGGAACTATAATTCCTTAGAATTCATGAATATTTTGGTAGTTGTATTTGTGTAATCTGAATACGCCACACTGGTCCATCATTTGGACTTAGGTTGAAACAAATAACATTAAAATCAAACATATAATATTCCCCAAACACCTTAAACATAAAAATTAGGCAATATAAATTCACATTCATCTTTCATGCTTAGGTGAAGATCAGCACAAATGTATTTGTGGTAGGATTCCATTGCCATTAAAAACAGAGGAGAACACAGATTTAAACAATAAGGAATTGTAGGTAAGGCATTCAAAGCTCTTTCAATCTGTACATAAATTTTACAGTACAAACAAATATATATGTATATATTTCATGAAAGTTTTTTTAAAAATAAAAAGTTGGCCCAAGTGTGGACCTTTAGTTGTTGTACTGTTTCAATTTGGGACAGTAATAAAATTTTGACATAATTTATCCTCCAAGAATGTATGAACTATTTTTTTTCAATATGCAATTTTAATGGTTATTTTTGATGGGGTAAAATATGATTCCACAACTGCAAGTACTAGATTTGTCTACAAGGATGGTGAGAAATTACATAAGCATAAAGTCACATTCCTGAGACTATAACAACTCTCCCACAAAAAATTGAAATGATAATTAACAACATGGGAAGAAAAATAAAGGTTACAAAAGGAAATCAATATTTTGATCCAAAAATCATTTTAAAGAATGATAAATCAACTATGTAAAAATAACTAAAACAAATATTAATGGTACTCATCTCAGAGTTTTTATAACTTAATATATTTTCCACTTTTTATTATTTACCATAGCTAAGATATGGAACCAACCCAGATGCCCTGCAGTAGATGAATGGATCAAGAAAATGTGGTATATATACAAAATGGAATTCTATGCCTCCATCAGAAAGAATGACATTGCCCCATTTGTTAGGAAATGGAAAGACCTGGAAAAAATTATATTAAGTGAAGTAAGGCAGGCCCAAAGAAACATAGGTCCCATGGTTTGTTTCCTTTATTTGCAATAATTAGTATATGTCTGAGACAAGCAGAAATGGTCAGACAAGTTGATGTTAGGTGAAATGAACCCCAAGATAAGGACTCCAATTGTTTTACTTTCTTGTGATTATTTCTAACATATTTATAAGATTATTTCTTTGTTCCTTTGTATGTCCCTCTCCCATGGTATAACCCCTGTTTTCACTGTATTTGATGTTGGTATAATTTGTGGAGGGGAAGCAGAAAAAAAATTGCATGAACTATTGTGCAACTAAATCACATTGATTTTTCCAACACTATATCCTTCAACACTAAAATCATTGTCTGACTCCATATTGACCTCTTGTCAGCCCTCATTTGTATATATGCCAGTTGCAGTATACTCTGAGCATTTTTAGATAATCTAATGATTATTTGTAAGCAATAGAAAGTATAATACATAAAGTAAGTAATTTAAATATATTACTTACAAAATAATATCTAAAGTAAGTAATATAAAGAAGATATTAACTCACTGAATAAAATTTATATGTCATTGAGGAGGAGGAGAATTGTATCAATTAAGACAAAGGATGTCTTTTGCAGTACTAGGACTTAACTTCAGGATCTTGCTAGACAAATGCTCCCAATTTACACAAATAGATAATGAATGAAAAATTTGGAATTATTCATATTATAATTGTCAGAACCACTCGCATTTATCAGAGTACTATATAGGGAAATGATTGTAAGATATTTAGGTTTCCCAGTAATAGCTTTACATGCATTATTTCACTTAATAATTCTGAGCCTAACTTAGCAACTTTGGATGGTAGATATTTTTAGTGTTGTTTATAGCTGAAGGCTTGAACCCTAAACAGGCTAACTAAAGCATCAGAATGACACCTTTTTAGGAAAATAAAAAGGGAAATAAAAGTCAGCATTACCTTTGCGCATGAAAGGGGACTTGCTATGATCCATGACTGCAGTAGGCATATGTGTATAATTCACCATAGGGTTGTTCTTCATCACTTCAAATGAAGTGTGAAAGATGATCCGATCCATGATCTCATCACTCATGGTCTTCCCCAAAAAGCTGCTAACTTTCTGAATTTCTCCCTTTGGATTCTATCAAGAAAATGGTTAAACAAGTAGATTGCTAAAATAATATAGAAAATGCTATAATTTCTGTTACCTGTTTTCTTCAGGCTGACTTTCAGTACAGAAAGAAATGCCCATTTGTTTGGGTAAATTTTTTCATGACTTTTTATAACATTTAATCATAAGAGCTTTGAAATCAATAATGGTTGTTTAGAAAAAAAATAGAATAAGATTATCTTATTTATCCTAATCTCCTGCAATAAGAAAACACCCTGGTATGTTCCAAATGGTAGAATGAAAGCCCAGCAAATATGAGAACCTGAGTTCAAACCCCACTACCATAAAATAGGAAAAAAAAAAAAAAAGAGTAGACTCTTGAACTAGGGATCTAACACAGTGATAGAATTTTTTCTCAGCATGCATGAGAATCTGCATTTGATTCTCAACATGAAAGGGAAGGGAAGGAAGTAAAATTCCCAGTGCAGGTATCAAAGTCTAAATTATTCATTAACCATTGAGAATAAAATGAGGGGGAAAACCCCTGAAATATTAGTTATTTTAAATTTCTAAAGTGGAAATGTAATGCTTATAAATTTTGAGAGCACAAATAAATCTGAACTGATCTCTAAAAAGAGTTTGGAGAAGAAACACCTTAGCAGAAATAGGGTATTATGACATAGAATGTAACAAAATGTATTGTTTTTATTAATAAGTTTTTTTAATTGTGAAAATACCATACAGAGGGGTTACAAGTACATGAGCAAGGTAATAAGTACATTTCTTTTTTTTTTTGGGGGGGGGGTCCGGTCGTGGGGCCTGAACTCTGGGCCTGGGTGCTGTCCCTGAGCTCTTCAGCTCAAGGCTAGCGCTCTACCACTTGAGCCACAGAGCCATTTCCGGCTTTTTCTTTTTGCTTATGTGGTGCTGAGGAAATGAACCCAGGGCCTCAGGCATGCAAGGCAAGCGCTCTACCACTGAGCCACCTTCCCAGCCCCATAAGTACATTTCTTATCCTCTCACCATCCCTGCCCTCCTACCCACTCCCCTGCCAAAGTTTGAATTGTTTAAATAGGGATACAGGTGGACCCATTGCAACAGTGAAATGTACAAGATGCTATGTCGAAAAATGAACATTACAAAATGTATTGTTGAGTGATATGTTAGAGAGTAAATTTCCAGGAGAAAAAGTGTAGTATTTCAGTGTTCTCAAGAAAACAGACAAAATACAGGAGCAGTTGGAGTTAGAATTGTTTGCACTAGTTAGAGAAGCTATGAGGTGGAAAGGTGAGTTGGGGTTAAACTGAGAACATCCTTAGGTGTTTTGGTGAACATTTAAGGCTGTACCTTTTGTGGCACAGCGAATCAACATTTAAAACATGTGTTACTGACTGAGTGCATGTGTATATTAACACTTATAGGTGTGCTGGCAAGGAGTTCCCTTTAAAGGAAGTTCTGGCAATATGTTACATATCAACTGTGAAAGAAAAACAAGATGGCCATTTCAGTGATGGGAGTAGTTAGAAATAGAAAGGTATAAGAGAAAATTTAGTAGTGACTCTAGGAAAATGCATGGATAGACTAGCAAAGCATACGAAAAATTATCTGGCCCCGGTCAGAGAGCAGAGAGGTACTCATGAATATAGTGTAAATTATTAGACTTTTTCTGACTTTAATTCTCGATATGATCTATATATTTGTTCTTCCTATATTTGAACTCTTCATATGACTGGGTAGCAGGAGAAAAATAATATTGCCTGCAAGTCCGAGATTTGCAGTATAAGGCAATACTTTTAAAAGTGCTTAGGCTAGACCATAAATTGATTTAATATGTTGATTTGAGTAAGTCTCGTTAGATGAATGAAATAAGAACAGAAATGCTTGCAAGAATGACATAGAGAGACAGCATTATATCTATCAGAATTTGAATGGCAGTCTAGCCCAGGCCTAAGCTAGGACTGAAAAAATATATATAAATATATATATATATATATATATATATATATATTCAAACTTATGGAAAAATCAGAAACTACATTTAAAAATCTATAATGCTAATAAATATTGTTCTTCTATCCAAGAAATAGATACTTGATAAATATACAATTTTATCTCTCATGAAAATTTACCATTTAACTCTGACTAACCAACCATTTATAGATGCTGCCATATTATTAAAATGGTTTCATAAAACCATGTAGGTTTTGCAGTTATATATGGAAAGAACATGTCACAAATTTTATCAAGCCCTAGATAAAAAGACAATATTGTCAGATTTAGATGTCAGATTCATTTATAGGCCACAAATAAGGACAGAGCAGAAAAACTCAAGACATTATTTGTAGTAAGATACTTGTGATTGTTTTTCAGAAATACATTTCATATGAGGCGTAATTTCTGTCCTATGCAAATTAGAATTGATCCCACTAAAATTTTGATTGTCACTATGTATTTACTTATTAAAACAATCAATTATTCATGCAACAACTCACCATTGAGCTGTTTATGTTTTTTGGATTTTTTTTTCTTTTTTATTGAAAAAGTGATGAGCAGGGGAGTTATGTTACATAGGTAAGGCGATGAGTACATTTGTTTTTAATCATTGTTACCCCATATCCTACTTACTCCACCCTTTCCCCCCCTCCACCCCAAACTGTGATGTTCATATCCAACATAAGGTTATGTGAGTATCAATGCTATTTTGGTTATCTGTTGTCCTGCTGTTTCTGTGTTTCCTTTTCACATTGTTTATATGTTTTAAGCAATGTTTTAGGTACTAGACATGTTATAAAGTTCAAACATCTATATCTATCTATCTATCTATTCAACTATGGTTCTAAAATTCTCAAAGGTATTCTAATTTGTTCATGGTTTTGCAACTAAAGAAACTGATTGTGTGTGTGTGTGTGAGAGAGAGAGAGAGAGATCAATTTAAGTAGACTAGCCTCCAGAATAGTAGCATAGAACTTTTGCAGTGTTATTGAGCTGTTATTTCTTCATACAAGACTAGGTGGACAATTACAAGTCTCTGATCTGAAAGAGCTACAGGGAGAAAGTGAAGGAGGAACATATTTGAAAGGTGTAATAGGCAAAACATGTGAATTCCTCACAAGTCCAGAATATAAGATATAAAACAATAAAGACAATTTGCATTCAGTCTCCAAACACTGAAGGAAAAGTAAAATCATTACCCAAGAAAAAGAATTTTTAAAAGGGTTTATATGTCTGATAAAGAAACAAGTTACATTTGGCTTTGAGCATGTTGAATTTTGTACAAGATGGTGTTTAAAGCCAAATGATGGTACACACCTGCAAGGCATTAGCACACAAACATTTGTAGAAACAATATGCATGAGAGTGACAGCCCAAATATAGCAAAAAAATTCAAACATGACATGATGTATGGAAATGTATTCGTGCATGGAAAGATATCAAGAAGGTAAGCAGGCAAGTGAAATTCTAGTAGACTCAGGAGAGAATTTCAAAAAGATAGGATGGTCAAAGATCCAAGCATGATTAAGAGAGAAGAAGAAATTATATAAGCCACTGATTTTACAATAAAAAAAATCGTAAGTGTATCAAGATGTAGGGAAGCAGGTATGGAGGATAGAAAATTTGCAATATCATTTTAGAGTCCAAAATTAAAGTTGAGATTTTAACATTAATCTTCTTATCTGAGGGTATCATCCAGAACAAATATCTACTATCCTACCTTTTTCATGTCTTCATAAAATAAGAAAAGTATTGGATGTTCTTCCTTTTTCTTCCACCAGGTCTTAACATGATTAAACCATGAACCGTAGGCCACTAAGAAGAGAAAAACCATTGCCATGTTTTCTTTTTTTCTCTTTCTTTCTTTCTTTCTTTCTTTCTTTCTTTCTTTCTTTCTTTCTTTCTTTCTTTCTTTCTTTCTTTCTTTCTTTCTTTTTCTCTCTCTTTTCCCCCCCTCTATCTTTGATATTTATTCCCTCCACCCACCCTCTCCGCAACTCTCTTTGGTGCTGGTCTTAGGGCATAAACTCAGAGCCTGGGAAAGTCTAGCTCCACTGCTTTGAGCCACAGCTCCACTTTCCACTTTTTGGTTGTTTAGTGGAGATAAAGGTCTCACAGACTTTCCTCCCTGGGCTGGTTTTGAATCATGACCCTCAGATCTCAGCCTCCTGAGTAGCTAGGATTATAGGCATGAGCCACCAGCACCCAGCTTATTTTATTTTTTAACAACAAATTGTAAATTACTTTGTGGAACTTGGTAGTCACGATAATGGAGAATGGAATATCAATTTTAAAGGTTAAATTCATTTTTCTAAGGATATATAAACATATTTAGATACATAAAAATGAAACAAGAAGCAATTCAGATGAAAATCAATTGGTCATCAGTAAGTTTCATAAATGCAAATCTATTTAAGAAATATTCTTAATAATTTGAGCAAGTTAAACACCATGCATAGTGACCAAAGAATTTCTAACAACTAGAAGAGATTCCACAGTATCTTTTATGCCAATGACTAATATATTTATTAACTGATGTGATAAAAAATACTGATTGTGGTTGATTTGATTTTCTACATGTAACCCTAATATACTTATACCGACTTAGACTGTACTGGCTTAAAAATAAGTTTTAGGCATATATGCAAACAGATCAAGAAAATCTGGGTAAACTGTCTTTAAAGTAGATGATGAGAGAGAATGATGAATGAAGTAAGTTTGATGGAGTTACTTTACATGTGTATATAGTAATACTAGAGAGACTCTAAATATCTAAAATAAAACATTTTGAAAGCAGAACTCATATTAATAATGCTTATTCATGTTGTTTCAAATTTAAAATACTCTCCTTTTTAACCTACCATTCCACCTACCATTTCCAGTCATGAATTTCTGCAGATATTCTCCCCAGGTGCCAGGATCAGGCTGCAAATGATTCATCAGGTCAAAGTGGTAATATGAGACTACAACATCCTTTGCATTCCGGGCCATATAAATTATCTGCAACAGGAAGAAGGAAATCAGATGGTTGGTATATTATCTATAAATTTGAAATTCTTTTGGCCTAGAATTCCTTTTTCTTATTAGAAAAGATTGTTCATTTGATTTATTTCTCCAAATAAGCAATACACCACAAATTAACAGATCCCCAACAATTGCATTGAAAATGGCAAGGTACCAATTGTTTGACATCCAAATGAAAAATTTATTGAGGCACATTTGATCTGTGAGTTGGAAACAAACATTCTGGTGTAATGAGACTCATTTCACTTTTGTCCCCAAAACACATGAGCACCAAAATTGCCCAGGAACACTTAATATTTAGTAAAACAAGCATGTAAAAATTAAGGAGGGATGGGGAAATGTTTTCAAAAGGAATGTCTTTGGAGATTGGTTTACTGTAAATAAAACTTCCTAACCACAAGCCGGGTGATACTAATAGCTAACAGGAACTCAAGAAAGACCCGAGCTCTATACTATAGTTACTTATTTTTTCTAAGCATGGCTCAGTCCACTGCACTGGGCTCCGCCCACCGTGGTGGGGGTGGGAGTGAGAATGTTCAGTGACAGCTGGGATTCTGTTGCCTAAAATTCCTTAAAGCTTCTCTGTCAGCAATTTTCACCAGAGCAATGCAGATAGGAGATTTGGACCATTTAGATAGGGTTGGGCTAAACAGATAAAAATTAATTCATTAGATGGGATTTTTGAAAATCCTACCATCAAAACCAAAACATTCAGGATGCAATTGGAAATTGTCATACCAAAAACTAGGAAAAAGGCAATAGGAATATGAAAGGCAATTGATGGCAAATTGAGAGGAAATAAACTGTTGAATTATCTGAAAACAATTCTAGAGCAACTGTCAGAATCTAGAACATTAAAAAATTCTCTTGAAACAAACATAGGAATAGGTAGAAAACAAATTATAGGGAAACTATAGATCTAAAATGTATTGTAACTGACATAAAAAATGTTACTGCATGGAAAATGGGAGAGGAAAAAAATCAGCCAAACTTAAGGTACATCAACTGAATTACTCAATATATGTACAACAATGAGTGAGTGAGCAGACAGAACCAGAACCCTAAATGAACAAAGCTCTTGAGATCTGTGAGGTAATAATTAAAGACTCTATCGTTTATAAACTTGGAGCTCCACAGTGAGACAACAAGGAATAAAACTGCAAACATTATTTGGAGAATTAAAGGCTAAAAAATTCTCATCAAAATCAAGGAAAAATAAATGAATCGAAGAGGCTGAGCTCACATTAAAAAGAAGAAACAAACACAGTTACACCTAGACACATTATAAATAAAATTCTTTTTTGGGGGGGGGCTCCGGTCATGAGGCCTGATCTCTGGGACTGGGCGCTGTCCCTCAGTTCTTCAGCTCAAGGCTAGCACTCTACCACTTGAGCCACAGAACCACTTCCGAATTTTCTTTATTTTATTTTATTTTTGTAAACCTCCAATGATTTCCTGCCCAGGCTGGCTTTGTACTGGCCCTAATATCTCAGCCTCCTGAGTAGCTAGAATTCCAGACGTAAGCTTAATTCCCCTCTTCAGCTTTACATTTAACTGCACATGAAAATACGAATCTGTACAAAGTAGGTGGTGTTGTACTAATATGAGACTTTGGCACAAAAGCTGTTAGGGGCAAAAACAAATTACAGAATGTCAAAAGAACTATTCCTTTAGGAAGATGCAGCAATCCTATATTATAAACAAGACAACAGACCTTTAAAATACATTCAACATCAGATGGCAGGGCTAGAAATAGCAAAAGATATATCAATAGAATAGTTTGGTGCATTTACAACTCATCCTAAGTAATTGATAGAATCACTAGAGATATAAGAAGTAAGGATATAGGACTGAATGATATCATTGAACAGTAAGATCTTACCAAAACTTACAGGATACTCCAACTAAATAAGGAAAACACATTTTATCAAGTTACCCCAGCAACAAAGATAGACTCAAATATTCTGTAAGAAATTGAAAAGGTTCAGAGTCACAGAATATGGCTCTGACCACAATGGAATAAAAGAAATATCAGTAACAGAAAGGCAATATGAAAATCTTTCAACAATTAGAAAATAAAACAACCAATTGCAAAATAATCCTACAGTAAAAGAGTAAAATTCAAAAGTAAAACTATGTACTCAAGTAAATTAAAAGTACAAATGATCAAAACCTGTGAGATAAAAGCAGATAAGAAGGAAAGATCACATCACTAAACACTTAATAAGACAAAAGAAATAAAATCAGTATTCTAAGTTCTTACTGAAATTAATTATTAAAAGAAGAGTAAAATAACCTCTACCCCCATACAAGCAGGTGAGAAATAATAAAGCTAATAAGACAATTCTGAAAAATTAAAAATAAAAAATAGAAACAAAACTGTGGCCCTTCACAAAAAATATAAAATTGATTGCCTTCTTACAAGATGAACAGATTCAAAAGAAAGACTACAATTAAGAATGAGAACAAAACAAGAAATACAGACAAATCCTACATCTGTTGCAATTATACTAAGGACATAAGATGAGCAAATTTTATGTATTACCTTCAGAGCATTGAAAAATTCTTCATATATCAAAAACTAGAAAATATCAGTTAAGAAGGCATCCAAGTAGCAGTATAACTATTAGAGAAATCTGATTTGAAATATATTCTTTTCATCAGTAAGTAAAAATAGAATGAAAGAAAGACAGCCTCTTCAGTAAATGGTGCTGGCAAAATTGGTTAACAACTTGTAGAAAACTAAAGCTAGATCCTTACATATCACCCTGCACCAAAATCAACTCCACATGGATCAAAGACCTAGAGTCAAAACAGATACTCTGAAAACATTAAAGGATGGAATAGGAGAAACCCTAGGTCTCCTTGGCACAGGCCAAAATTTTCTTAATAGAGACCTGGAAACACAAGAAATCAAAGAAAGGTTGGACAAATGGGATTGCATGAAGTTGCAGAGCTTCTGCATGGCAAAGGACATTGTTAGAAAGACCAATAGAAAGCCCACAGATTGGGAGAAGATCTTCACTAGCCATACAACCGACAAGGGTCTCATATCTAAAATACACTTGGAACTCAAAAAATTAAATCACCCAACAACAAATCCTCAAAGAAACAACTGCCCAATAAATAACTGGGCTAAAGACCTAAAGAGAAACTTCTCTGAAGAGGAAAGAAGGATGGCCAATAGACACATGAAGAAATGCTCAACCTCCCTATCCATAAAAGAAATGCAAATCAAAACAACATTAAGTTACCACCTCACTAAGAATGGCAAAAATCAAGAACTCTAATAAAAAGAGATGCTGGAGGGAATGTGGACAGAAGGGAACCTTACTGCATTGTTGGTGGGAATGTAAACTTGTTCAACCACTTTGGAAAGCAGTATGGAGGTTCCTCAAAAGACTCCACATAGAATTCCCCTATGACCCAGCAATCCCACTTTTGGGCATTTACCCAAATGTTTACAAACAAGACCACACTAAAGCTACCAGCAGGACTATGTTTATTGCAGCATTATTTCCCATAGCTAAGATATGGAACCAACCCAGATGTCCCTCAGTAGATGAATGGATCAAGAAAATGTGGTATATATACACAATGGAATTCTATGCCTCCATCAGAAAGAATGACATTGCCCCATTTGTTAGGAAATGGAAAGGCTTGGAAAAAATTTTATTAAGTGAAGTAAGGCAGGCCCAAAGAAACATAGGTCCCATGGTTTCCCTTATTTGCAATAACTAGTATATGGCTGAGTCAAGCAGGAAAGGTCAGATAAGGTGATGTTAGGGAAATGAACTCTAAGATATGTATTCAAATGTTTTTTTTTTCTTTCATGTGATTGTTTCTAACGCATTTATAAGATTATTTCTTTGTTGCTTTGTATGTCCCTCCCCCACAGTATAACCCCTGCTTTCCACTGTATTTGACATTGGTATAATTTGTGGAGGGGAAGGGGAAAAACAAGTAGCATAAATAGGGATACAGGTGGACCCATTGCACCAATGAGTAGTACAAGTCGTTACGTCGAAAACGAACTTTACAACTATGGTGGTGGGGGGGGAGAGGGCAGGATTGGGTGGGGGAATGGGGGGGCGGGAGGAGGAGGATGGGAAGGGATGGGAAGGGGAAACAAAGGAGGAGGCTACAATGCTTGATAAAAATGTACTCATTATCTTGCCCATGTAATTGTAACCCCTCTGTACAGTATTTTCACAATAAAAAAATAAAAATTTAAAAAAAGTTAAAAAAATGCTCAACCTTTCTAGCAATAAAAGAAATGCAAATCAAAACAACATTGAGACACCACATCACCCCAGTTACAATGGCTACAATCAAGAACTCTAATAACAACAGATGCTGGAGGGGATGTGGACAGAAGGGAACCTTACTGCATTGTTGGTGGGAGTGTAAACTTGTTCAACCACTTTGGAAAGTAGTATGGAAGTTCCTCAAAAGACTCCACATAGAGCTCCCCTAAGACCCAGCAATCCAATTTATGGGCATTTATCCAAGTGTTCACAAACAAGATCACACTAAAGCTACCAGCAGGACTATGTTTATTGTAGCCTTATTTACCATAGCTACCATATGGAACCAACCCAGATGCCCCTCAGTAGATGAATGGATCAAGAAAATGTGGTATATATACACAATGGAATTCTATGCATCCATCAGAAACAATGGCATTGCCACATTTGATAGGAAATGGAAAGACTTGGAAAAAATTATATTAAGTGAAGTAAGCCAGACCCAAAGAAACATAGGTCCCATTGTTTTCCTTATTTGCAATAACTAGTATAAGTCTGAGTCAAGTAGAAAAGGTCAGATAAGTTGATGTAAGGGAAATGAACCCTAAGGTATGCATTCAAATGTTAATTTCTTTCATGAGATTGTTTCTAACACACTTAATAGGATTTTTTTTTTGCTTTATATGTCCTTCCTCCATGCTATAACCCCTGCTTTCACTGTATTTGATGTTGGTATAATATGTGGAGGGGAAGGGAAAAAAGAAACCGTTTATATAGGGATACGGGTGGACCCATTGCAACAATGAGACATACAAGCCCTTATGTGGAAGAGGAACTTTACAAATTTGGTGGGGGAGGAGGAGGATTCGGTGGGGGGGCAGGGGGATGATGGGAACAGATGGGAAGGGGAAACAGAGGAGGAGGCTACAATGCTTAATAAGAAATGGAGTCTATCTTGCCCATGTAATTGTAACCCCTCTGTACAGTATATCATCAATAAAAAAAAAGCATTGGGATAAAAAAAAGAAATATATTCTTTCTAAACAAATATGCAAGCATAAATGTTTCATTGAAGCATTTTAACAAGAGTTCAGATAAAAATTAGCATCTTTATATTTATGTTTTTCTGTAGAAGATCATGTTATCTAGGGAAAACAGAGGGATAAAAGTAGCAATTTGCATTGATATGAGACATCTGTGGCTACTTGTTTAGAAAACTCAAGTACCCCCAAAATAATATTGAAACTTTGTTTTAATTGGAACTCTTTGTGTACCTAAGTTCTCAAAGTAACAAGTAAATAGAACATTTGGATCATTTCACGGTTTTGTTTTGTTTTTTTCCAATGTGCATGAGAAAAGACCAGCGTCACACTGCAAATCTTGCTTGCATTTCAGAATGTACCTTACACTTGTTCTCCCAGAATGATTTAGGAAGAAGGTCAACTGGCAAATGTGTCTTCACAATGCGAGGTGAAGGCATCTGTTCCAATTTTTCTACACCTGGAAAATTATAGTTTAGCATATGGAAATTAGTGTCCAAGGAACCTGTATTCCTTTATCTTTCCAATCAAGTTTTCAATGCATTTCTGGCATATACATATAATATATATATATATATATATATATTACAGCTAAATCTGAAGCAGAGGTGTGTTTCAGGACTCCAAGAAGCAATATTATACAACAGATAGACATCCCTGTGTTAAATGTTTATTAGCACGTACTCATTATTAGACAATTGAAAATACCTCACAAAGTAAGGAATGTAATTCACGTTTCTTATCTCCAAATGAGGGACAATAGAACTCATTTTAGTATCTTAGAATATTACCTTAATTTCTCCTTCAGGTCTCTCATCCAGACGTCTTGAAGTTCTACGCATCATACTATTTTCCAAAAATTCTAAATGTTTAACAATATTTGTGTGTATTTGTTGTGTGTATTTATTTGCTGCCCATTCCCATACTTCCTTCCCACCCTCAGCCCCCAATATACCTAGAATATAATTAGATTCCATTAAAACAGAGATATAACTTGTTTGTTCATAAAGAATGTCTATTTGATAAGAAGGGATAATCCATTGTTAGCATCAAGACCTACTTATAACAAAAGTGGTGTTAACAGAAACAAAAATGCAAGATGCCCAGATAATGGGCATTATGGAGTATTTTTAGTAAATAAACTGGTTAACAGAATTCCTTATTTGGAAATATTAAATATAGGCCTCTAAAATTCTGCCAGAAATTTTATTATGACTTTCAACCACAGCATGGAGAGCAATTACTTTATTTTTCATAAAACGGATGGGTCCATAGTCCATTTATTTGATCAAAATAAAGCCATGGGAATAAACCTTGGTTCTTTTATTTTTTCCATGTTTCTCATGAGCCACTACATGAGAAACTACATATTTTCTGCATCAAAGTTTTTATGGTTTACATTCCTCAAGTATGCTTTCCACAACTCCATATATGACTTTGGGTTTTAATTCAGAGTAAATATTTATCCAATCTAAAATATGCTTCTCTCTCATAAATTCTTTTGCTCTGTAAGGCTATCAGTGTTGACATACTATTAATTTACTTTTTAAATGCCAAATAGCACTATATATTTCCTGGATATAGAATATATAGTTTTCTAATCATTTTATGTCTAGGCCACAGTAGAGTAGAATAGTCTTTTGGAAATACTGAAAATACTGGTGAAATAAAAAATAACTGTTATTAATACTAAATATCACTTTAAGAAGAACTAGCATTTCTTTTTTAAAATTCTATTTTATTAATCTAAAAGTAGTTGTACAAAGTAGTTACCATGCAACAAATCAGTTTATAATGCATCTTGATCCAAGTCATACCTTTCATAATTTTTCTCCATTCCTACCAACCCAACCCCTCTCCTCAATTTGCATAGGATATGCATTGAATATTATGACTGTATTCTCCTTCCATTCTTTCTCTTCATTCATCAATCCCTCTTCCCTTGACCTCACCCCATACATCTTTCAAGTGCCAGTTTTCTGGTATTTGTTTTACTGGACTGTGAGTTAGTTAACTACTTCAGTGAAGATCCTCTTACTCTGATCTGTCAAATTCTTCAAATAAGTTAATAAAATGTAAGGAAATTTGTTATTGAGTTTTTTTCATTGTTTTCTATACTAAAACTTTCCTCATTTGCTATCATATCTGGATATGCAACAGACTAAACAAAAGTTTTTTTTATATTCCTTGGTTATTTTATTACTTGCAAACTTTAATTTTATGTTGCTGAATCCACTACAAATATGTTAAATGATAGTCAAATGAAAAAGTGGATATATTATGAAAATATTATTACAGAAATATCAGTACCAGACTATTTAATGTTACCTGTCACACTTAATCCAGGAGCACTCATTTCCAACATTGCCACTCTAGCAGTAATAACATCTCGCTTGCACTTTTCAATATCTCCATCATTTAGAATCATATCCACAATTTCACTAAGCCAAGTGGTACCTGTGGTAAAAGGCAAAATTTCTATAGTCAGCTTTTAATCCTGGGAGGAAGGGACAAAGTATATGTTGGAAATCTTTCATCTAATCACCTTCTCTAGGAACTTAATTGACAGTTTCCATTCTATACGCCAAATATTCACTTTAATATACTATGACTAGATAGCTGCATTGAGGGATAGAAATGTTAACTTGGGAAGATAAGGCCAGATCCGTATTATGCAGGCTGTAGAACTCACCTGATTTAGGGAAAGTGACGATCACAATATCATCTGGCCTGCTCTGGAACTGTTCAATCTTTTCCCAGTTGCTTGTAAAAGCATAGACCATGGGACAACCATGGATCATCTTCACGTTTTTCCTCAGGACATCTTTTGGAGAACTCATTTTATATCAGATTGTATGAATGCTTGAATGTAAAAGTAGACTGTCACTGTCAAACAGTAGAAAAATGAAAAGGAATGTGAAGACAATAAAAATCAGAATCTCAGTAACAAATGTTATCTTTATGGCACTGTAATGTAACCTAAAGTAGAATTTACCCTTAGAACCCTGAATACACAGAGACCTAGATACAAAGGGCATATTTGTGGGCATAGCATTGCAGATAACAAGTGGGACAAATGGCTCAGCAACAAGCAGAACAAAGGTCTTCAGTAGTAGATTTAATTAAAAAAAACCTACTTTGAATTAAATTCATGCTTTACAGAACTATGGCTTAAAAATAAAACAAATCCTAGATTCCTAGGAAAATGAATCTATTGCTGATCATTAGAATTTAGTTATACCTCATTTTTCCTGAGACCATCTTCTATCATTCTTACATTTGATCTCTATATAATAGATCTACTTTATCTGGTCCTAAGATTTTTTGTTGTTGTTGTTGTTTCGGTCGTGGGGCTTGAACTCTGGGCCTGGGCACTGTCGCTGTGCTCTTCAGCTCAAGGTGAGAGCTCTACCACTTGACACCGTGTCACTTCCGGTTTTCTAGTGGTTTATTGGAGATAGGAGTCTCACGGACTTTCCTGCTCTGGGCTGACTTTGAACCGTGATCCTCAGATCTCAGCCTCCTGAGTGGCTAGGATTACAGGCGTGAGCCAACGGCGCGGCTAGGATTACAGGCGTGAGCCAACGGCGCCTGGCAAGTTTTGTTCTTTATTACTGGTTTTGAGCAAACAAATTGTGATGGTTTGTGGCGTGATTATTTGCATGTGTGTGTGTATGTGTACACATGTACAAATTTACTCTGGATCTGTACTGAGATTTGTGGAAATGTGGCTTCCATTATATTTGTATAAATTTGGTTATGATCCCTCAGCTTTACTTTAATATATATATATATATATATATACCTATATATTTATATGTAAGTTACATGTGTTTCCTGCATTGATTGACTAGCAGCTGCTTCAAATTACAGTCAGTGTGTACTATGTGTAACTGATCTAGCAGCTGCTTCAAAATTACAGTCAGTGTGTACTATGTGTAACTGATCTCATCTAAGAACTTGTTAGAAATGCAAATTCCCATCTACAAAATAATCTCTTTTAACAAGAACTTAAAGTTAACAACACACAATTAAAAATTTGAGGATGACTTTAAACCCCCTTTATTTCACTCTCTAGCAATACAGAGTATACATTTAACAAAATAAATTTAACAATCTCTAGAAAACAAGTCACATTATCTGTAGTTCATATGTATTATCTCTAATCCTAATCCACTCTGAAGGTGTATCTTCATTTTACCTTGTAGATAAGCTTGGGAAGCAAGACTTTAGCATGTCTACTCCAACAATCACAGAAAAGGACTGGGTACCCAGGAATGAACTTTTCACTCTGCTCACTTTATTTATTTTTTGTTTGAAAAAGATTTCCTTTTATCTGTAAAAACAGGTGAAACTGTTCCAGATTACACAAAGAATCTTGAACTCAGAGACTGGAGAGTCACTGATACATTTACCATATATATATATTTTTTAATTCATATATGTATATTATTGTAATTATAAAGGTGATGTACAGAGGGGTTACAACTACATAAGTCAGGTAATAAGAACATTTCTATTTGAACAATGTCACCCCTTCCCTCACTCTCTCCCAGGTTTTCCCTCCCATCCCCACCCATGAATTGTATAGTCATTTTCAATGTAATGTCTAGTGAGTATCACTGCTGCATTTGTTCACCTTATACCCTTCTCTTACCCTTTCAAAGACAGATGAAATAACAGCCAGGCAAAGATAAATGGAAAATTATTACTTTTTATGATTGCATGCACATAGTTATTGTCTGCTCACTTTATATACTGTACATTTACTCTGGGCCCTGCCCTGATTAACAAAAAAATCTGTAGCTTATCTCACTCAAATAAGGGTGTTCACCATTTTGTAAAAGAATTATTCTTTCACAAGGCAACTCCTTGCTGACAAAAAAGTTGGAGTTCCTCATGCTGGAAAAATATTACCAAAGATGGAATAACAACAAGTGGAAAGCTAAGAAGCCATTCTGTATACATGTAAGTCATGCCTGGGAAGTGGGTGTGACCATTTTAGGAACCTACAGAGAAGCAGCTATGAATGAGCATTGCTTCCTTGTGACCAATGGCTGATTTAGGAGGAGCTCAGAATTTCAGAGGAGGGGTCTAGAGGGGAAGGGCTGAAACATGCAAGATGATTAATATCATCATATCAGATTTTTTGTAAGATGCCATATACTTTAGAATATACAAGTTACATCAGACCCCTCATAAAAAGGATGATAGGAATTTTTTTCTAGTGTGGCTGTCCATTGCAGTTTTTATTGTTTTTTTAAACCATACAACAATGTAATACATCTGTTTTATTTTCTTTTTTCAAATAGTTGTGCTTTAGATACAGTTACCAGGTGATATATTTCCCTCATATGCTCAGTAGTCTTGTATTAAAAGCATCTAGAGTATAAAAAATTTACTGTCTACATGACATATAAGGTCTTCCTGTAGAAGTTGAGCCACAGGCTAAAAATTAATATGTCAAGTTGGTTTCATGGAAGATCAATGAAATAAATTAAAAACAATGTGTTCCTATTAGGAGAAATTAAGTTATGTGACATCAAAATGGAATGATTCTTTTGTTCCAAATTTTATTTATTCCTCTGGCTTAGTCCTAAAAGCTTTCAACTCTGTTTGTCCCATATCTAATCCCTGTTCCTAAAATATCCTGCATTCTGAAATATGCTTAAAAGTCATTAATGGTGTGTGTGTGTGTGTGTGTGTGTGTGTGTGTGTGTGTGTGTGTGTTCCTGTGGGGGAGTGGATAGGAGAGAAGAAAAGGGAAATGAAGACTTGGAAAGATCCCTTTTTCTTTATGTGGCTTAAAGTTGCATGATAATCCCTCCTCCTCCCCCCCCAAGCCTGGTATGTCTCAAAAGCATTCCATTGAGCCCAGAGAAATACAAGTAAACATTCAAAGACTGAAATGTTCTGCAGAGCATAAACACGACACTGAGTTTTCTGTGGGAATTATGTAAAAGATTCTCAGGTTATGAAACTATCCCAAGCAGAAATTGTTCTCAGGGCACCATATTCTGCAAATATAGGACATGAACATCAAGTAAAGAAAATGTGAAGATTTACCTCACCATGAAATCTTGAATTTTCACTTTCAGTCAGTGGAGCTGCTTCTGAGAAGAAAGCTGGGAGCCACTGGTGGCTCAAGAAGGTCAAAGTACTTTTTTCTTGTCTCCAGGAAAAAAAAAAACAAACATTAAAAAAAACAAGTTCAAGGAGAGATCTGAACACAGCATTCTGTGAAGGTGCAGGCAACTATAAACAGTTTGATATATACACAGAGGAGGAAGACCTGCTGTTTCAACATCTGGCAGAATCAGGAAGTACTGAGGAGGAAATGGATCAGGGTGGTGACCAGCCCAGGCAGAAATTGTCTAGATTTGATGGTCTCATAGGCTTATAAGGGTGGAAACAGAGGCAGAGGGGGTGTAAAAAAATAAAATAAAAATAAAACCAGCTTGACGATTGATACTTCATTACGTCTATATGGAGGGTCTCCTAATAATTTTAAGTAGAAGGAACAGGATTGCATTGTGTACATCTGTTCTCATCCTCAAAGAAACATGAGTTTCCAGTATCACAGAAAGATCAAACACACCAAACATGTAGGAAAGGTGAAATATCTTCCTGGGAAGCAGGACTAGAGGGCAGAGCTGAGGGCCTCAGATGTACTTGCTTTCTGTCACTCATCATTTCCACTGCTTCAGCTCTTTGTGTCTTTTATTTCATTTTTCTGTGTTTGATTGGCTGAGTCATATGTACATGGAAAAGGGCATGCAAGTCACTCTGTAGTGAGGTGAAAAGGGAACTGGGTTTTTTTTTATTGTGAAAAAGCTGTACAGAGGGGTTACAATTACATGGGCAAGATAATGAGTACATTTCATATCAAGCATTGTAGGCTCCTCCTTTGTTTACCCTTCCCATCCCTTCCCATCTTCCCTCCCTCCCTCCCCACCCAATCCTCCCCCCCCCTCAAGTTGTAAAGTTCGTTTTTTATGACAACTTGTATTTCTCATTGTTGCAACAGGTCCACCTGTATCCTTATTTAAACGACTTGTTTTTCCCCTTCCCTTCCACAA